CATGCATTACAATCAGTCATATTTCCAGGAAGCAACAAATGCAGCCTGTCAGTGCCACACCAAAGGCTGCTTTTTGTTACATCTCATTTTCTGAGTCACTTGTGTATTTGTTGCCAAAGATGGGCAAGGCACAGCTTAGAAGAATGCCCTTTATACAGTGCTTTATTTATCACTGTTTCTTGGTGTCTGGGGATGGATTTGTTGAAGGTCCTCTGAGACAGCAATATGACTTTCCAAAGCACAAATGCCATCTGATCACAAAGCGCAGTAGACATCTTTATGCCCCATCCCTGCAGGCATTCAAGGCCAGGCTGGATGTGGCTCTGGGCAGCCTGTTCTGGTGGTTGGCAACCCACTAGACCAGGGGGGGTTGAAACTAGATAATCTTTGAGGTTCCTTTTCAACCCAGGCCATTTTATGATTCTATTATCTTTGCTTTATGGTGTTTTGAAATAAGCTGATAAAGTACTCATTTTGCCCATCAGCCCAGATTGGAGAAACCAGAGCATTGACAGGAAAGGAATATTTTCTTATCCAAGAAGAATTAACAGCACCGTCCTGCAAACTCTGTAAAAGGACTGAGTGCTCACTGAAGCTTGACGAGTGTGATTTAGTTAAAGTTGAGATAGTAACTCACACTTTCTCCATTTAGAATTGTCCATGCCCTCAGCCCTGCTCCTGGTGGTTGCATGCACGCTGAACTGTGGGTCTCCAAGTACCCATGCATTACACTGCTCTCAGCAACCAATGATTGTGAACATGCTCATGTGCCAATTGTGTGCATTGCCACAAGTTCAAAATATTCATTAAGAAAATAAAGGCCCTTTTCAGGAGCAAGACTATACCAAAGGCACAAAGGTGCTAGTGTTGCTGGGTTGCCTCCAGCACGGCCTTCTGAACATATTCAGTTCCCAGGGACTTGGAGAGCTCCTACAGCCAAATAGTGCTGCAAAGCCTCTCTCCAGCAGTACCAAATCAGAGGGGATGTATTGTTTGCCCATTTCAGCATCCTCAGGGAATGTTCTGAATCATGTTTGCTTGAGAAATCATCCAAAGTGGTTGCCTTGGCTATTCCTGAAGCGTTTGCAGAGACTGTAAGCAGGGGGAGGTCACCAATGTAAGGTTACTGAATTGGCTGAAGTCTTAATGATAAGAATAAATCTCAGTCCTTTATAACTTTCATTAAATCACTTAATTTCAACTGCTCTTTATTTTGAAGGAGATAAATTTATCTTTTTGACTGATATCTTTTAGGTTTTAATATATTCATCTCTACATATCAAACATTACATTTGATCAGTAATATGACCCTATGTTGTTATATCTTGTTAGGGCAGCAGTTTGCCTACTAAAATCTGCCCAGTTATTTCAGGAGATCTGCACTGATATCCTGATTAAGTTTAGGATCTTCAGTACAAATGATCAGCAGGCATCACTATGTGTAAGACAGATGCCACCAATGAAGTACTGTTCTGAGACATCCAGCTCATCTCACCACAGCTTTATGTATCTCTGCAGAAATCCTATGGACAGAAAGGGCTTTGCTTATACCAATTGCATATTGCACACTGTGTAACATAAAAAGATAGACGTGGCAATTGCTGCCTCTGGAGCATGATGTGCTTACCCCACTGTTATTTAGCTTCTACCTTTCTTTTGCATATTTCACAGAACATTATCTGGTTTATTGGACATAGTGCAGTCAGCAATATGAGATAAATTCCAGTGACATTCAACTGTCACCATTCCACTTCCTTCCAGAATTTCCCAGCTACTGAGCTTCACCAAAAAAAAAAAAAAAAAAAAAAAAAAAAAACCCACACAGAAAACTTGACAAGACCAGGCAGAGAAATCTGCAGTTAGGAATGTCCAGAAATGGAGAGGATAAACAGGTTTTACCAATGTCATTTTGTAGTTTAGACAGCAAGACCTAGCTTTCCCCTCCTTGAAGAAGTGAGAAGGGTACAGAGCAAAGCACTAGCAATACCGTCTGGGTTTGCTCCATTCCCAGAATGCTCCATGGAGACCTCACTGCAGCCTTCCAGACAGAATCATAGAATCATAGAATGTGTTGGCTGGAAGGGACCTCAGGGATCATTACATTTCAAATCTCCTGCCAGAGGCATGGTTGCCAGCTGCTAGATCAAGTACTAGATTAGATTGCACAGAGCACCATCCAACCTGGTTTTAAACACCTTCAGTGATGGGGCATTCACAGCCTCTCTGGGCAACCTATTTCAGGACCTCACCACTCCCATAGTAAAAAAATTCCCCTCCCCCAGTACTTGAAGGGAGCTTACAAGCAGGAGAGGGACCGATTATTTACACATTCTGATAGTGATAAGATAAGGAAGAAATGGCTTTAAACTAAAAGAGGGGAAATTTAAGTTAGGTGTTAGGAGGGAAATTTTCAATCAAGGCAGTGAGGTGCTGGCACAGGCTGCCCAGAAAAGCTGTGGCTGCCCCATCCCTGGAGGTGTTCAAAACCAGGCTGGATGGGGCCCTGGGCAACCTGAGCTGGCGGGTGGCAGCCCTGCCCATGGCAGGGGGTTGGGACTGGATAATCTTTAAGGTCCCTTCCAAATCAAGCTATTCTGTGAGTCAGTTTTCTATGATTTTGTAACTCATTCCCTTCCCATTTTCTCAAGGGGTTGTCAAATTCCAGGTTGCAGGTGAGTAACAGAAAACCCTGCCAGGTTCCCATATTTATGCTTACACAGGCAAGGGAGAAACCCGGATCCTTGTCAGCTTTCACCTCCAGGCATCCCCATTACTAGCACAAACAGGCATTTAGAGCTGGTTTTTAAAATACAGAAAATATCAATCAAGACTGAAGAAACAAAATGCCTTTCTAACATGAATTAAAAAACAATATGGAATAAGAAATTATTTAAAAGCATTGCACAGAGAGATTTCCTAGCTACATAAAGCTGGTACTATCAAGCACTGAGTCACCAGACATGCAAGAGGAATATTTTGTAGACACTACATTTTTTCATGTTCGTGCACTATCTAGCAAAAAGCATGTAAGAAAATATCTGAAGAAGTCGGTTATCATTCAGTTGCAATAAGTATCAAATTATATTTTAAAATCTCATAAAGATGCTTGAGATCATGAGATTCTAGATACAAATCGCAGAGTCAAGAGACCTTCACCAAGGAAAGCTGTCAGAGACCTGAAGATCTACTAGGCAGCAGGCTGCACACTGTTCTATGCTGTGGTAGCACAAGACCCCTCACTGTCTGTCACTTTCTGACATGTTGTATCATTACTCTTCTGACAGGAGTAACCAAATTTGCAGTGTGGGTGGCTTCTATTAGCAGCAGAAATAATATAGGTTCTATGTTTGCCTGATGCTCACATTTACATGTAAAAAATACAGAAATTTGTTTATGTCATTTCAAAAGCCTGTTCATTTGCTCCCAGCTCCAAACTTTTTTTCAGACCAGCCTCTATGGAGCACCATTTTGTTGTCATACATCATCTATCGCTGGCTTTTGGCTCATTTTTTGGCCTTATTCATTTCTCCAGGAAGGTGTATAAACCTTTACCTTTAAATCTCATATCAGGGATGTCAGCTATTATAAATTTTGTTAATGCAGATTAACATGAAGTAGAAAAGACAAGGGACGGAGAGAACAGCCAGCAGTTTGTTATAAATTATTTCTTTCCTATGTTGTTTTATCCAGCAATATTTGTTCAGACAGTGCTCTTGTTTTTCAATGCAAGGAACTCATTGCAACTTGAGAACTCAAGCCAACTCACTACACATTTGTATTTTGGCTCCTAAAATTCATAGTTTATAGCAAATCTGTATTTCCAACTGCAACACAAGTGAAGAATTTCTCAATATTAAAATAGCCACAGAAATGGCAAGATTTATGTACTATACAGGACTCTGTACAATCTCTTCCATTATGTAAGAATGCAGGGACAACCAGTTCTATCCAACATATAGGCTCAATTAGAATAAATTTTTCTACAAGAAACTGACATAAAACACCCAATCTTGTGCTTTTTTTAAGCTTCTTGATAAACTCATTTGCAGTCCCCACAGTATGTTATATACAGATCTAGTACTGGTGTCAGTTACCAAATCATAGAATCATAGAATGGCTTGGGTTGGAAGAAATGAATATGTCTACTCTGAGATTTATGAAAAGTATAGCTTACCAGTTAGTAACAATTCTTCAAAGAATATACACTAAATAAAAGACAGACTTTGCACCTCAGCTCTCTAAGTAATATCATGGTATTCATGTTCCTGAAGTGTTTTTTATCTAAATCTCAGTTTTTAGGCAACCATTCATACTTTGTTTGTTTGGTTGTTTGTTTGCTTGTTTTCCTCGAGCCCAGGTGAGCACTTGGGCACCAAATTTGTATTCATTTCGAAAAAGAGCCTTGGTCTTTTAGGAGCTGAGTATTGCAGCAGTAGTATGAGAGGGGAACAAAGGTGCTATAGCTAGAGATTGGGATAGCACCATCATGTCTGACTAATGTAGTATACTCAAGTTTTTCTCCACATATCACATACCTTACATGTATGAGAACACACTGTTTATTCTCAACTTGCAATCAGGAGCACATTGGAGCTGCACAAGGGAAAGTTAGGTAACAAATGCTCCTAAGTAGCACTGTTATAAATGCTAAAGTAATAGTGTCAACCTGAACAAGAATCACTCTCTGTCAGGTTGATATGGAAAACAAGAACAAAAGTAAACCAACCNNNCCCCCCCCCCCCCCCCCCCCCCCCCCCCCCCCCCCCCAAAAAAAAACAACCAAATAAATTAGGGTAAAACAAATAAAACAAATAAAATAAATAAAACAAATAAATAATATTCCCTGATACTGCAGGGAAATTTGCTCATTTCAGTAATTCAAAGGAGATCTAATTTCTTTTAGTCATGAAGTTTACCAGCGTGGTTTGGTAGTTTGTTATTTTGCTTTCTCTTTAAATGAAAGATGTGGGTTTGAAATAAACAATCTCTTTTTCCACCAGACGAATATCTTGATGATTCTCAGGAATGTCAGTTGTGTGAAGCATCCTGTCAGAAGTGCACTGGACCTAAGGTGGATGACTGCATCAGTTGCCCTAGAACAAGGTATGTGTCCTAGAACAAGGTATGTGTCACCTAACAGTGTGCAACACAAAGAGCTCACATCAGCTCTACCCTGCAGAGTCAAATGAAAAAGCATGATGATCATGGTAAACAACCAAGGCTAGAAGCTGAGAAGACAAGTATTATAGTATTATGTAAACAAGACAGCTGGCTACACAGGTGTTCCTTGTTGAACCAGATTATTCCCATTGACAAAAAAAAAAATGTTATTTTAACATGAAACAGTCTTCTTTTAATTGCCATACAGTAATCATATGAATGACAAACTAAAACAGCAAAAGTCTGGGGGATTTGCAGTTTTGCATATCTACTGGATTGGCACAAGGAGTGAATATGGGAATTGAAGCTATCAATCAATAAATCTAGGAGATGCTCATAGCACCCGAACATATGCCCCTGATGCTTACTTTTATAAGTTCTCGTGAGGAGTGAGTAGATCTAGAACAAAGCTTCTCCTGAGGAACACAAGCCTCCTGTTTTCATACTCATTTTCTGTCAATAACTCTGTTCTCACGTCAGTGACTCAGGTTCTCTTGCTCTGCAGTCAGCTGATATTGAATCAGTAGGAAATCAGATTCTGGCCCTGTAAGGCACAAGAAAATAATCTTCAGCAATGCTATGATATGCAGTGCAAATGTCTATGCTAAGACCATACCATAAGCAAACAGTGAAGTCCAAACAAATTCATCACTGAGGAAGCAGTGTGGATTTAATTTGTATTAATTCAGACATGGAATTATAATAGCATTTGGGGCAGAATTTTGGACTCAGGATTGAACTTTTCCAAATGCATTAAATTAGACTGTCCTTGTTTCCTTGTAATTCCTACAGTGTCATTTGTGAGTTTTTCTCAGAGATACCTTTAAGACAAAGAAGGTGCAGAACAAACTAGTTAAAATGCCATTGAGTAAAGATGTTGAAGCAAAACAAATAGTCTCTATGGCCTTTTGGAAGGATACTGCTGTCTCCTCTGTAACAAATCCTCCAGCAGATTTCAATTTTTTTTTATTTAAGGTTTTGAAGGGCTCCCTGTTTACCTTCTGCACCAAAAGCCGTTAGAAGTTGTACTGGACACACTATTAAAAGAAAGAACAATGATGGGAAATTCATTATGGGATGGAACCAGAAGCTTTTTTCCAATTATGGATTGGAACCAGATTCTTCCAATGAACATTATTTGTTAGTTACTTGAAATAGACCAGTTGAACTGAAAGAGGACTGTAAATGTTGTAGCCCTTTACAGTATTCAGTAGCGCCTATTGAAAACAGTAATGAGAGGCCATTAGATAATATAGACTAAAATCCAACAATCCTGGAACTCCTGTCCTCTTTGAAAAGGAAGTAAAAGATTTTGGATGGGGGGTAATTACTGAAAATTCAGCTGGAGTTATCACATTATTTCATATTAAAAATCACTGAGATCATTTTCTTATCTGAAAATTCATAACGCTATTATTACCTCTTTTCAAAAATTATGCAGTAGTTCTATTACATCTTTTGTCTACACAAAAAATTATCTTCATAAAATTCCTCCTCTTTCTGCATATTTGTTTCAGTTACAAAGGTTAGTGACAAGCTCTCACCTTTTGATGTTTATCATTAGGAACAACATAGCAAAAAGCAAGAAAAATCTACTCCTCTTCTCTTCTCTTCTCTTCTCTTCTCTTCTCTTCTCTTCTCTTCTCTTCTCTTCTTTTCTTTTCTTTTCTTTTCTTTTCTTTTCTTTTCTTTTCTTTTCTTTTCTTATCCTTACAGCCAGTGTATGTGATGAAATACAGTAGTACTTGCATGTCATAGAATCATACAATCATCTGAGTTGAAAGGGATCCTTAAAGGTCACCTGGTTCAACTCCCCTACAACAAACAGGGGGAAACCAATAGCTAGATCAGGGTGCTCAGGTCCCTGTCCAGCCTGACCTGACATCTCTGAGTCCCATGCTGGAAGGACAAGCCACCTCTACTACAGATCCCAGTGCCCCACTTTCTCCATAGGAGCATGGATTTGCTTTTCAAGAATACAGCCAAACTGGGGTCAAACTAAGGTTTTGGAAGGAATTAGCAGGTCCAAAACATGTCTAACCTAAAGGATCTAACTCCAGGTATGACCCCTACAGGTGCTGGGAGTACCAGTGACCTGGGCTGCCTTTTCTGGAGGCAGAAGTCTCACACCACACAAGTTCTCTGGTCAGCCTGTTCCAGCACCTCACCACTCTCTCAAGCGAGAAATTTCCCTGAGATATCTAATCTAAATCTCCCCTCTTTAATTTAAAACCATCTTCTATTATGTCCTATCACCTGTGTAAAAAGCAGGTTTCCCTCCTGTATATAGCAGCACAAGCCCCAAGGTGTGGTTTGCAACAATCCTCAGCTCTGCCCAAGCACCCAGGACTCAGGATCCCAAATGCCACCATTAGGACACGTGATCGAGGTGACATAGCCCAGCTACCTCCTGTGCTTCTGTCATGGCACCCCATTTGCACAGAAACCATGCAGTGTAGAATGCAATCCACTTCAAGACCTGAATACGCATCTTCAACAGTGCCAATAGGCCTCTACGTACTGCAGTCTGTACAGGACTTTCTTCCCATCAGACTCCAGAGCAGAGAGATATCTTTGCAGAATATTCTGTACATCTATATGAACTTCTCCCTGTTTCCCTGCAGCAGCCTGCCTTCTGCCTCACAAGTCTATTTAATCAGGTCTCTAGTTCTCTCAGATACTGATGAGTCACATGCTTTTTAGGAATGTTTGATGCAGGATGAGATATTCTTCCAAATTCACATTTCATAAGACTAGACATTTCCAGTCATGGTAAATCTAAAACAGTTTAAAAAATGATTTGATAGTATTGGTTTTAAATTTGCAGATGTTTTTCTCCTCTTCTTACAGATTAAGTCTTACATTGACCGTAGCAATTCAAATCCACGAAGGTGTATTACCAACATTTTCAGTGCCACTGGCTAGCTCCTAGGAAGTATGTAACATCTTCATGTTGTGGAGAGTTCCTGAAAGTGTACAGAAAGACAGGTGGATTCAATATCTGTTCTGAGATCCTGAACTGTTCTCAGTTTCTCTGGAAATTGAGTCCCAAGCCCTCAAAAGCAAATTAGTCTAGGGCAAAAGCAGTTGAGAGTGGGAGGGGTCTCTTCTCTCTAATTTTTTCAATTCTGAAAGCCTACTTGTTTTACAGTCTTTTAATAGTCATATTGGCATTGATATTTTTCTCCTTTTCACTCGAAATAGAACCAGTAGAAACTGAATAGTGTTAAAAATGGACTAGAAATTTTTATCACAAAAAAGAATACTGCAGCAGATATTTTGTTATGCAGCAGGACATTTAGTAACAAAATCACTAAATATCTGCAGACATGCAAGTCACAGACAACATCTCCTAAATGACAGGTCTCAGATGGGTGTTTGATTTCATATACAAAGTCAATGTACTGAAGCCACAGTTCTGTTCGCAACAGGCCTTCAAAGCAAATCTAATAGGAAACTTCAACAGATAGATCATTTATTCACAGAGAAAAACCTAGTTAGTCTTAATTTCCTTGTAACAGACATAAGTGGTCACTTCAGAGATTGTGATAGAATGACGTTTAGGTTTAAGACCAAAGGCTAATTTTTCTAGGAAAATATTCCAACTCATTTCTGAACTTGACTGACCTTTTCCTCAGGAAATATTGTAAATACGACTGGGAAAATGAAGGAGTGAAGTGAAAAGACACTGATAATAGAATAAAGGAAGAATATCTTGTTTGTCTTGTAAGTTTGTTTTAAATGTAAAGAAAAAGTTGCAGCTGAATTTTAATTATGCCTCTCTGTTCCTCAAAAGATTCTTTGACAATGGTCGTTGTGTAATGCAATGCCCCAGGGGAAAGTTTGAATTCAAAAAGCAGTGTCATTCGTGCCATCATACCTGCCAGGACTGCAGTGGAAGTGAACCTAACAAATGCACTGCTTGTGGAACAGGTGAGAAAGATATCTTGCATTTTTTTTTTCCTCTGCTTGGCATTCAGGTTTCCTTTTCCCTCTGCTGTCAGAGCCAGTTGTTAAAGCCACTGAAATAAACATTGCTTTTGCTACTGATCTGCATCATTATCATGTTTTAACACTGATGAATGTTGGAGCTTAAAAGCTTTTTTGTTTGTTTGTTTCTTTGTTTGCTTTTTAAAGAACGTAAGAAAGAAACACATCTCTGCACTGTCCTTACATCTTTACTCATTTCCTTCTGTATGTTTTGAATGGGATCCGTGGTAATACAAGTAAAAGCATTAACAGCTAAAATAAGGACAGAAGCCCTACATAAGCTGCTTCTACAAAATGAAGAAACATATCTGCCTCTCCCAGCCTCTACAAAGCATGTGCTTCACTTAAATAGAGCAAACTTGTTGCACAGTCATGCAGAGAGACAAGGTGCTTTCCAAAACGTGTTTTGGAGAAGGCTAGGAAGCCATCATGGTGAATTCTACTACTGTGTCTCTACAGCTAGGGAAATAGTGCCTGAAAAGAAAAGATTGCCACTGACACACACAGCAATTTGTCTTTTTGACAGTTTTACAGAGCTTAGGTTGAGACAGAAAGTAATGTAATTAACTACGTAGTTGTTCTAAAAAACAGCTCTTCTCCTTGTGAAGATCCAGTATTGTCTACAGTATAAAAATGATTATTCCCTGTCACCTCTCTAATGCCTGATGGGTAAAGAACTTGAAGCTATATGCAAATAGCAAGAAATTCTTGGAGATGAGTATCTGGAATTTAACCTCCAATTCATTTAGGAAAAACAAATTTGTAGTTGCAGGATGACTTGGAATTCACCGCTTTTTTCCTTTTTTGCTGCTTCTTGAAGTACAGTGTGAGTCCTTAATGCCCCAGGATTTGTTTGGTAATAAGTGCCCAGGATATGAGAAAACACTAGCATAATTGGTACTAATTAGACATACTGATGAGATTGATGCTCTTGCTTTGGGAACTGTGCCTGTAAGTGAATAGACTACGTTTTCAAACTATTTCTCTACATGACAGAGCAGTTCCTATTATTCTTCCCCAAGTCTAACCCTGTGGTGAACAATAACATAATTTCTATATTTCTGTATCAAGAAGTGAAGATCTCAAAGAAATTCACACTCTGAAGAAGCTAGAAAGATCACTGTGGAGATTTGTACCCGAAATGTAAAAGGGACACAGTTTGTGTTGTTCTTGTGTGGTGCAATCACTACGCCCTACTGCAATTTCTTTCTCTGAAGCTTCAAAAATAAATTATGACAAGTGAATACCTAGGCGGCTTTATACATAAGTAATAAAATACACCTAGCACAATTATATATGCAATTTTTACACTAGAGTAGATCTTTACGTGTTGCAGTACATGGCACGTGGAGCCACAGGTGCCTCCACAGACTTTGCTGAGTTCCCATGCAGTAGAAATTTCAATTTCTCTGATACCAAACAGATGCACACTTGCTACTCAATTCAAATCAAAACATTACCAGAGCTTAGCTGTGACTAGGATGAGGATTACATTTTAATCTACTATGGAAACAGACTGATCCTTTCGAAAGGTGAAGTGGGCAGATTTGCTTTCATAATGGTGATTTTACATCTACTTGTGCAATATAGTACAAATCCTTCTACTTATGTTTGTTGCAGGGGAATTTTGGGAACCCAGTATTGGAAATCTCCTGATCCTTATTTGATTAGATTGGTGGATATAAACAGCGATGATTCACTAGCATAACATTTTTATGTCACAGATCTCCAAGAGCGTGGAACATCTGAGATCCTGAAAGTTTTGTAAATTTTAGCTCATCTCGTGTAAAACTGAACACATCATGCACTCTTCAATACTAATTCACATCATCTGAAGCACTGGTGGCTTAATAAATGTCCTGTGTTGCTGACATCTTCTCTGTTTCTTTGTGGCACAGATAGACGAGGGATGGAGCGTTTTCTGTACCGTGGGGAGTGCAGAGAAAGCTGTCCCCCAGGTCACTACCATTCAGAGCACACCTGTGTGCCCTGCTCTGGTCACTGCGAAGTGTGCCTGAATACTAGACACTGCAAAAGATGTACCAGAGGATACTACCTTAACCAAAATATATGTCAGAAGCATAGCTGTAGAGAAGGTAAGCATCCTTCAGTAGGAGGGAAAAATACTCATTTCAAACTGTTACAGAAATATAATTTTTGATTCCTGTTCTGAAATACACAATCGCATCTGATCCTGAGCTCCTTAATTCCTGTTCTGATTCTCTTCTAAAGCTACGCAAATGAAAAATTGAAATATTTTCCTCAAATTGAGTAGGATTACAAAAGAAAGAGTGAGAAAATAAATTCCTGCACATCTTTCTGCTTTTTGGATTTGTATAAAATCTGTTTCCAAGAACCTTGCTGAGTGCTTTCACATAGTGGCCTTTCATTACCAGGATTAACAAAAAATTTGTTTCCTTCAAAACGCAGGTGAACTGGAAGATCCTGACACTGAAGACTGTGTGCCTTGCTCAGAAGGATGTCAGAACTGTCAGTTCGGTATGTAGTCCCATTACAAACTTTTCTCCTTATCCTTAAGTAAACTATAGAATCATAGAATATTTCAAGAATGAAAGGACCCACAGGGATCATTGAGTCCAACCCCTGACTCCACACAGGACAACTCAAAATTTTTCCAAATGCTTCTTGAACTCTGGCAGCTTGGGGCCATTGCCACTGCCCTGGTGAGCTTGCTCCATGTCCTCCTTTCTCTGATGAAGAACCTTTTCCTGATATTCAACTCGACTCTCCCTGACACAACTCCGTGCTGTTCCCTGTCGCTGTCACACAGAGCAGAGCTCAGCGCTGCCCCTCCGCTCCCTGTGAGGAGCTGCAGCCGCCATCACGTTTCCTCTCAGCCTCCTCTACTCTCAGCTGAATAAACCAAGGGACCTCAGGCTACTCTTCATACACCTCGCCCTCTAGACCTTTTGAAACCCTCCTATGGATGGTCTCTAATAGTTTTATGTCCTCCTCCTATTGTGGAACCCCTCCCCAGTCTCTCAGAGACAGCCCCTTCCCTCGCCCGCTGGCAGTGCTGGGCCTGCTGCACCCCAGGTACGGTTGGCCCTTTGGGCTGCCAGGGCACACTGCTGGCTCGTGTTCCACTCGCAGTCAGCCAGAGCTCCCAGATCCCCATTCCACAGGGCTGCTCTCCAGCCTGTTTTCCCCCACTCTGTACATATATCCAGAATTGACATGTTTCAGGTGCAGAATATGGTACTTGCTCTTATTAAACTTCATCTGATTGGTGATTGCACAGACCTCTAATTTGTAAAGATCTCTCTGCAAGGCCTCTCTGCTCTTGAGGGAGCTCTCCGAAATGTAATGTTTTCATCAAACTTATTCAGAATACCTTCAAGTCCTGTATCCAGGTCATTTTAAAAGAGCGCTAAAGAGAACTGGCCTCAAAATGCATCCCAGTAGTGACTGGCTGCCAGCCTGATTGCCTTTAGTCCTAAGGCAATTAAGACATCATTGCATTCTCTTACCAACTAAGCTGTTTATTTTTCCAGTGTATTTTTTTTTTAACATCAATTCTATCACCAGTTTAAATAAGACTTTGTATTAGTTTAGCTGTTAAAGTTTGTAGTACACATTATCTTTTTCCTACTGGACTTCTGGTCTGATAACTCATACGACAAAACACTTGACAACCCTTGTGACCAGCCATTTCACAAAAGTGCTGTCAGGCCTAACATCTTCCTCTGACTATACCTGTACTTTCTTTGTTGATCTCCTGTTCTATATGACTTTTCAAAGATGATAGAGATCAATTTGACACCCTCTTCTGCCAGCTCCCTGAGAACACATGCACATCCCATTACGGCCCATGGATTTGTGTGCATTGCTTTTGCCTAGATGATATCTGATCAGATCTTCCTCTACCAAGAGAATGTCTTCTTTTCCTCAGGCTCTCTTTCTTATCACCTGAGGCTAGAATTCCTGACTTCCACTCTTAGCAGAAGCAAAGAAAACATTCAGTAATTTCACCTTCTCCATGTTCTAATTTATCTCTGTCCTCGTGAAATCGTCTCCTACCATGAATGCCCACTATTTTGGCTTTCCTGGCCCACATTAAATGGAGAGGAATTGCCTTGCACCAGTGCTTCAGTTGTTGCTCACTCAGTTGTTGCTGGGCGATGAGTATGTGCTTGGGCCAAGCTGGGCCACTCAGTAGGGAAGAGCTGCTATCATGATGTTGCAGGGCAGGGGTGGAGCTAATTAGTAGCTGCCCCAGGATGTGTTTAACCCACAGGCCACAGGTTGAACATGCCTATCCTTAATCATCTCCAGTCATAATATTCATTAGATATTTACTCTCAGGTTTTTAGATTCAAATCTCTGATTTGAAGAAGTTCTTTCCAAAAACTTAAAAGGTCAACAGAATGGATGTAAGTAAAACAAAGACTAAGTAAGTTAACTTCCACTGCTAAGTGAAATCAGAAGGGTTAGAATGCCAGAGTCTGGTAAGGGGCAAGCTATTAAGAAAACTCCTTGGCAGTTATGATGCATATATTACTGAGAGTTTATATAGGTTGGTTTAATGTTAGCTGTATTTGGAACAGAAACACAGCAGTGGTATAAAACCAGGATGCCAAACAGATTTTGCAAATTACCATGTGTTCCTGAAATAAAGCATGACCTATAAACTTCAGGCTTAAAACAAATCAGGTAGAGATGTTGTTTGTGTTTCTGCTCTTAATATTCCATGTGATTTCTGGCATATCAGTAACAATTCACAGAGTAAGATTAGGACAGTAATAGTTTTCTCTTGTCTCATCAGAAACTTGATACATTTAGAGACTCCTGCCTGTCTCTTAGAAAAAAAAAAAAAAAAAGGTTAATTTTGAAAACTGTAAAGAAATTCCATTGCAAAAGAAAGGAAGTGAAGGAAAGAGAAAGGAAGAGAAAGGGAGGAAGGAAGAAAGGGAGGAAGGAAGGAAGAGAGGGAGGAAGTATGAAGGAAGGAAGGAAGGAAGGAAGGAAGGAAGGAAGGAAGGAAGGAAGGAAGGAAGGAAGGAAGGAAGGAAAAATGTAATAATCACGCACACATTTGGAATCAAAATTATATAGTTTACACACTGAAGATTAGTTTTTCATATACAAATGCATATCAATTTAATGAATATTTAGGTATTTTGAGAAGGCTCAAGACCATTCTCTCAAAAACATTTGTTAGGCACCTGCTCCGTTGGAACTGCTTTGAGATCCTTTTATATAGATTGTAAGAGACATATTTTGTAAGAGGTAAAAATAATTACCTTCTTCAGTTTATGCTGAGTATAGGATCACTTACAGAAACTGTATGAACTAAAAAAGGAATATCAGACCAGAAGGGATAGCTATACTGTTTCAGAACTGTGCTGACTTCAGTAGTCCGAATGATAATTAATTTTTGGCCTTTTTTTTTTTTTTTCTTGTAGCACCAGAAAAAAAGATTTAATTATGGCCTTCATTTTCAACAGTGCCTTTCAGTTCTGGGCAACGTTGTCCAGCTGAGTAAGATCTATTCTATTTTATCATGCTGCTAACTTTTGCAGACAGAGCAAAAAATGGAGGTGGGTAGTATGAGAAGCCTCTCATCTCAATCAGTAGCAACCCTATGAATAGATTAAGACATAGATACTATACTTTTAGATCACTTTAATACTTTATATCCTGTTCCATATATTTCACAGAAGTATGCAAAACTTACCATTTAAGTTACACTGCTAGTCAGTGCTCACCGGCATTAAAGATGCTGGAGAAGATTAACGGTATCTGTAATATTGTCTCAGATCCTCAGAAAGCAATGTAAAATGTATTTCTTTTCCTCCCAGTTTGTCTGTTGGTGTTTTATTTTTTTTTTCAGAGCTATATATCTTTTCTGTATGTAGATTAATACTGTAGGTATAAGGGACATTTAGAGTGACAAATTCTAAGACAGGTGTAGTCTTTGTTGCTTTAACATAGATGATGTTTTCTCATGTTTTCTTTGACATTAAGAGGATACTTCTCTCTGTAATTCACATCATTAATTTGGGGGCTACTCAAATTTTTAGGAGATAAAGAATCTTTAAAGGATCTTAGTAAATGGGAGAGGTTCCTGAGGACTGGAGGAAAGCCAGTGCACTCTAATCTTCAAATAGGGCAAGAAGGAGGATTTGGGAAACTACAGGCTGTTCAGCCTTACCTCTGTCCCTGGAAAGGTGATGGAAGATCTTATTCTGGATGTCATCTCAAAGCAATGGAAGAAAAGAGAGTTATTAGGAGTTGTCAACGTGGATCCAACAAGGGGAAATAATGCTTGACCAATCTAATTTCCTACATGAGGTTTTGACCGGATGGGTAGACAAGGAAGAACAGTCGATGCTGCCAACCTTGACTTCACCAAGGCTTTTTACAGTGTCTCTCATAACATCTTTGTAGATAAGCTTAGGAAATGTAGGATGGGTGGATGAGCAGTGAGGTGAACTGAGAACTGAGAACTGAGAACTGGGTTGTCAGAGATCAGAGCTTTGTGATCAGCAACAGAGACTCTTTGGAAGCCTATAACTAGTGGTAATCCCCAGGAGACACAGAATCATAGAACTGCTCAGTTGGAAAAGACATTAAAGATCATTGAGTCCAACTACGACTTAACCATATTACCCTAGCTCTAACAACCCACGTAAGCACCACATCCAAACAGTTTTCATACACATTCAGGGATGGTCACTCAACCACCTCTGTGGGAAGCCTATTTCAGTGCTTAGCAACCCTTTCTGTAAAGAAGTTTTCTTGGTATCCAACCTAAACCTCCTCTGGAGCAACATGAGGCCATTTACCTTGTCACCTGTCCCTCTGAGAAAAGACCAGTCCTGCTCTCTCTGCAATCACCTTTCAGGTATTTGAAGAGAACAATAAGGTCTCCCCTCAGCCTCCTTTTCCCCAGAATAAACAGGCCCAGTTCCTTCAGTCACTCTTCGTAGGGCATATTCTCCAAGCCCTTCACAAGCCTTGTTGCCCTTCTTTTGACCTGCTCCAGCACCTCAATGTCCTTTCTGTACTGAGGTGCCCAGAACTGAACACAGTACCCGAGGTGAGGCCTCCCCAGTGCCAAGTACAGGGGCAGGATTACTTCCCTAATCTTACTCATGACACCATTCCTGATACAGTTGGGTCTGGTCTTGTTCAATATCTATTTTCACCAATTATCTGGATTGACCTGAATGAAGAAATAGAATGCAACCTCAACAAGTTTGCTGGTGATAAAACACAGGAAATGTGGCTGACACACCAGAAGGCTGTGCTGCCATTCAGCAAGACCTGGACAGGCTGGAGAGTTGGGTGGGAAGAAACTTACAACTGTCTGATTCTGTGACAGACACCATTCTTCCTACAGACACTTCAAGTCCTGGAATATGTTACCAGAATATTGCCTTAAATTGCGCTCACTTTGTAAGGACCTATGGCTTTGTATGCACAAAGCAACTGCCAAAGCAGTGTTTATGCACAGTACGGTTCCCTTCTTCTGT